TTGCTTTAACTTTTCAATGTGTGACTTCGTCAGCAAGCCCCGATATTTCCGACGGCTGTTCAGGTATTGATAAGAGCAACTGACTAACGTAGACTTCAGATGTTGTACGAAGGTCATGTGTTTGATTCAAGAGGTTCTCGAATTGTGCTTCTAACTCTAGCTGGTTGGGCTTCTGGCGAGAACAGCAAAACTTAGGACCCAACGATAAGGCCTCAATCGATGTTTTATCGAGAGATATGGACGAATCTTGTCGATGCACTGAGCATCGACAAATGTCACGACAACACAGCAACGCAACCCGCCCGCGCCAGCCACACCCACGACCTGATCCACACTACGTGTACCAGGCCACAACTAGCCTGACCCTCAAATCCTAAGCACTATCGACTTATCCTCCGAAACAACTCTCAGATCGGCCTGACGGATTCAAGCGGCTCAGATTTAATGCGGTGAGAAGTGCGCCGCGTAGCCATGCACCAGTCGACCTTCCCCGCCTTCTCAGTCATCTGGTGCAGGGACTAAGCACAGTGGCTGACACGGCAGTAGTTGTGGGCTCTCGCAAAGTCAGCACAGCCTAGCAGACGCGCGTAGTGAGTCAGTGTAGTCATCGTTTTGGTCAGACGCATCTGCAGTGCAGCCTGTTGGGGGCGCCGTAAGAAACCTCAACAGTCCTCTGACACTTTATTAGTTCTCAACTGCAGTGGATCTGTAGCGACATAAAAAGCGTTTTGTTTTGGTGTACCGAAATACGCCTACGTACTTGGGCACAACCGTGAATGTCAATTTAGCATTAAGCTGCATTCTGGTGACTAATTCGTCCCCGATATAACCTGCGGATAGCGATCACGTACGTAGGAGAAGAGACCGACTTGTGTTCTGCCAAGGTGGCTACCTTTTGTTTATAGCGGCTCCTCTCGCAATTCCGTACTGAACAGTCTCCATTCTATTCTATCCCACCCTACTTCCCATTGTATTCTTTTAACCAGGTCTTATTTACTATCTACGTTGGCACAACTTTTAAACCAACACCAGCGCTACCTTTCGCTCTCAGCATCAATGTGCCTGACCGCTGACTGATATCGCTTATTAATGACCAGCAAGTACTATCAACCGCTCGTTGTGGTCAACGTTTCTAGCAACGTCACGATGGTGCCCACCACGCCTACCCTCGAAGACATCATGAAACCTCTAGACGCCCTCACAGTTGACGTTTCCCGGCCTAGTGCTACTCTTGTCTCTAGCAGTTGGGATCCTTTCATTACAAGAAATTCTCAGCGGAGAACTCATCTGTCGGGCAGTAACAGCGACGAAATTGGCTGATCCAACACCAGTATAATTCCACTATCTCCGGCTGGCCGTAAGTCATTCCGCTATTCATTTCCTCTTTAGGCAGCTAATGGTGCCCCCATGAACACTTTTGGCCAATAATCCGTGGTTTACGACGTTCGTTTCGGTGGATAGGTAGCTGTTGTGGTCATTCTTCAAGCGCCCATCTCAACGCTGGGACTCTCACGTGTGTCTGCACGTGCGCAGCAGGCCTGTCTGGCATTCGCCCATTTGGCTTTCCAACCGACCAATCAACTTCAAGGTCGAGTCAAACGTGGCTGATAGTGGCCCCTCTCCGAGCGCCTGTCTCAACGCTGGGACTCTCGCATATGCCTGCACATGCACACCAGGGCTGTCTGGCATTCGCCCACTCGGCTTTCCTACTGACCAATCAGGTTCAAGGTCGGGTGAAACGTGGCCTGTCGTAAGACGCTCCGTCGCATTCCCTGACTCACACGCTTGGGGGCGCCGCTCACGCGGTGTCGGGCGTGCCATCGCCCGGCTTCCAGATCTACCCAACGCCTTCTCTCGCTATTCTGTACGGAATACATCATCCGCCTCTCAGGCGCCCACCTTCTCCTTTTGTTCTTCTCCATTCGCGTACGAATTTTCGAAACTGTATGTTGCTCTGCCTATTTCCCCTTGATATAGTTATCTTCTTTACATCCCTTGTTTGTATGAACTAAGATTGTGAGGTCATCTCTACATTGCGCTAGCATCCTTTTGAAGGAACTTAAATAACCAAATCCACTGACGACTGTCCATGATACCAACTGCTGCACTTTTCGTCAGAAAGAACGCCGTCGCGGTTGGCAACACGCACTTCAACGTCAGCCAAAGAACAAATTGCCAGTTTCAGGCTTTCTGTCGACAAGATGTCATTCGATCTTCAACAAAACTTATGATATGGAGCTTCTTTTGTTAAAAGAAGGACACAGTAGGACTGAAGTGATTTGTCTTCGAGAGACGTGGTTAAATGGTGGTATTGATTCCCAACTAATGATTCCTCCGTCCTTCTGCTGCTTTTGAACGGATAGAAAGTCTTCATCGTGTGGCAGAGGTGGAGGGGTTGCTATTTTTGTCAACCAGAATTGATGTGGAGAATGTAAGTGCTTATTTCCTTACTCTAATGATTTGATAGGCGTTATTGCTGTCATACGCAAGCCCCGTTTGTTAAGTAATTTTAAAGGCATTGTATTTGTTAGTATTTGCATTCCCCCTTCTACCTGTGAAGAGAGAGAGAGAGAGGGACGATTATTATGGGGACAGTTCAAGTCTTCGCTTCTGTATTTCTATCTCTTCACACGTAAGATAGCGCGCTAGGAATGGCAATACAAAAGCTTGAAAAGCCGATATGAGACAAGACATAAATCGGAAGCTGCGAAGCATCGAGCGAGAAGGCTTCGCAGAAATAAGATCAAAATACAAGGGATGGGCAACGTCATCTATGATCCGACCAGCCAATTGATTAACCGTATTGAAATGTCGTTGTAGGATAGTGTCGACTAAAAAAGATAAGAAACCAGCGGCAAAGCAGCGCATTCGGAGGACCCGTTTTAAAATTAAAAGCAAAGCAGGAAAAATGACAGGAGAGCAGTATAGGATAAGAGGAAGGATGCAGGCATTGATGAATCACCAGACTGAGGGTTGAGGTGTGTGGTAGGAACGTATACGACGAATGCAATAAAGAAGTTGACGAACTTTAGCAAATAGGGACTCAATATGGAGGGAAAATGAAAGATTTAATGACAAAGTAACGCCAACGTACCTGAAAGAGGATACTTCGTTAGGAAGAATGTCAGAGAATTCAGGATTAGGAGAGGGCTGCAGTCGAAGAATACACTGAACGGATTTTTGGTTGTTAATCAGGGGACCATTTTCCTCCGACCACGCTAGGACATGGTTTAGGCCATCCTTTAGAGACCGGAGGTGTGTCTGACTTTTGAGAGGGTGTCCAACAACCACATCATCAGCATACTTAACCAAAAGACAGTCGTTTAGGGAATCTTAGATAGTCGGTGTGGAGGGAGAAAAGTTGAGGGGATAGAATGGAACCTTGAAGAACTCCACAGTCATTGGGAAGGACCATAGATTTCCGCGAAGCTTAACCTTTTTCTCTGGTTTGGCTATCAGTGCAC